AACTAATAGTTACAGTATAATATTGCTAGATACGTAGAGGTATTTTCATTTAATTCTCTAACAAATATATAAAGCATATATTAGTCCCATATAACGAATGAGAAAACTGAAGGTCAAAAAGGTTGAGTAACATGCCAAAGCAAATAAATGACAGAACTAGGATTGAAACCTAGAGATTTTAAAAGTATGTAGGTTAGTCTGGGTCCAGACAGAGAAACTAATTATAAAGAATAGCAGAGGCTGGGCGCAGTTGCTCCCATGTGTAATCCCAGCACTTTGGGAAGCCGAGGCAGGTGGATCACCTGAGGTCAGGAGATTAAGACCAGCCTGAGCAAACTAAAAAAAAATACAAAAACTGGCCAGGCATGGTGGTACATGCCTATCATCCTAGCTACTCAGGAGGCTGAGGCAAGAGAATCACTTGAACCTGGGAGGCAGAGGTTGCAGTGAGCCGAGATCACACCATTGCACTCCAGCCTGGGCAACAGAGCCAGACTCTGTCTCAAAACAAAAAAAGAAAAAGAAGAAGAAAAATAGTGAAAAATACTAATTGCCTACCCAATCTCCAGTTCTCCCTTCCTTTTAGTCAGAGAACTCCAATTTTCTGGCGAGGCATATTCCTGTTCAACTAAGATACATTTAAGGCTCTAAAAGTGGACAGTCACTTCTTTATCCCTTCCTCTATGTCTGGAACATGGAAATTTTAGCTCTAACTCCAGCAACCATCTTCTACCCAGAAATCAAGGGCCATACTTTAGGGTTAACAGTGTAAGAAAATGCAAAGAGGCTGGGTTCCTGATGACAGCATAACTGCCAAACCAGCTTTTAATTGTCCACCTCTGGAATTCTTCTACAAAAGAAACAAACTAGTCATATGTTTAAGCTATTATTTTTCAGGTCTCTCTTATTTGTAGCCAAACCTAATCCTAACTGATACAGGCAGGGCTTTCAAAGTATTCTGGGTGGAGGGTTGCATGGCATATTCTGAAGGAAGAATTGTCAAGATTGAGTGACTGACTCAACCTAACAAAGAAATTTATCATCGTTCATATGACGGACAAAAGGTTTTAAATGCCCAAAAGACTGAACAATTTTTAAAAAGATAATCTTTTTAAAAATAATTATTCCAATGTCCTTATTGGAAAGTTTCAGCCACTCTTGGTATCTGCATTCTTAAAGAATGTGATAAAAATCAGAGAAGATATCAAAAATCACTAATCAAACTTCCTTAAAGAAATGAAAAAAGCAAAAACTTTCAGCAAATAAGACCTATATGTAAAGTTGTTTCCAGCCCCACTAGTTCATTTTGTCTAGAAATAATTTGAGGATAACTTACAAACTGTTTATAAGCAAAGTTCAAAGCATTAAGCTCTGCTAAAAACCTTACTAGAAAAAAAAAAATGCTTAAAGGCAAGAGCAGATACTTCAGAAGTCCCATCACATTTCCTGATAAGTGATGCACCACCACCAGAAAGCCAGAACCTTCACACCTAGAGACAATCAAGACTTTGACACCTAAGTAGGAAAGTGAAACCCCACCAGGAAACAGGATACCAAACTGGAGGACTTCCGGAAATCCTTTCCACCTCTAAAATTAGTCTTCTCTCTGTCCCGAGAAAGGAAAAGCAGCAATGGTCATCTTATCACTCTGCTCTGTTAGGCCCACAGCACTCTACCATGCCCAGCTGAGTCACTGAAGAACTTGAGAAGGAGCTGGTTTCAAGTCCAAATCTCACAGTAGTTCATTCTGCCTGAAAATGTTCTCTCACTTTCATTAGGAGTCCTCTCTTGTTGCTGAAATGGCGGTGTCTTTTTCTCCCATTGGGACAGCGAGTCCCTGCCGTCTCACCCTGGGCATGGGAACAATCATTGCCCCCCGGGTGTCCTGTGTCAAGTATCAGGTTAGCCCTCTGATTACAAGTACCTAATACGTTTTAAGCAATGAATATGAAAAAGAGACCAAAACAAAATATAGAAAAACTTTACGTGGAGCTGTATTGCTTTTATACTTAATCACTTTTAAAGGCCTCATTTTACCAAAGCCTATACTACAAGTGTCACAGGTATTTCCCATATCTTTGTTTGCAGTCACTAAAAAGAAAAATGAACAGTCCTCTCTAGATCTAACCATTCCCATTATCTACAATCCTAAGTGAAAGATGGGCCTCTCGTTGCATGTTCAGCAGCAAAAGAAATCACCTACTTTCTTAAGGCTCAGCAAAATATTCCAAAACACATTGTGGTAGTCAGAATAATAGCCTCCGAAGATGTCCACATCCTAATCTATAGAAGCTGTGATTATTGGGAAAAGGGACTTTGCAGGTGTATTAAATTAAGAACCACAAGAAGGGGGATTATCCTGAATTAGCCAAGTGGGCCTGATCTAATTACACAGGTCCTTAAAAGCAGAGAACCTTTCCCACCTGTGGTCAGAGACTTAAAAATGGAAGTATGATCAGAGAGATGCAACATTCGTGGTTTTGAAGACAGAGGGAGTGTGCCACAAGCCAAGGAAAGTGGCGGTCTCTAGAAGCTCAAAGAGGCATAGATGATCCCCTAGAAACCTCCAGAAAAGAACATGGCCTTGTTGACAATCAGTGAGACCCATTTTGACCTCTAACCTACAGAACTATAAAATAATAAAAGCATTGTTTTAAGCCACTAAATTTATGGCAACATGTTACAGCAATCATAGAATACTGATATATAACATTGAACAACTTCTAACAATATGTGAAATTAGAAAAGAAAAGCAAAACCAAATTGCCCAAATATTTGGAGCAATATAAGAGCCATTTGTACATGTTGTAACATATTTCACTTCTGTTTCTCTCCTGCCCTCACAAAACTCCATTCATTAAAAAGCCAGTCAAAGTGACAATTCTACAAACTTTTTGTAGAAGAATGAGCCATATTAATTTAAAAAAATGGAACACTCAGGACAGCAGGCTCTAATGGAAAATCAGCAGATAATTACGCCATATTTTTCAGAGTCAAACATAAAAGTGCTTGCACTGTTTATCCTCCTTGTATCAAATGGATACCACCCATTTTTTAAAGTACACTAAGTCTTTCTAGACATTAATAATTTACTATTAATTTTTATGTGTGATAATGGTATTTTGGGTCTATTAAAAAGACAGAGCAGGTCAGGGACAGTGGCTCACCCCTGTAATCCCAGCACTTTGGGAAGCTGAGGTGGGAAGAATGTCTGAGGTCAGGAATTCGTGACCAGCCTGGGCAACAGGATGAGGCCCCATCTCTATTAAAAATATAAAAAATTAGCTGGCCATGTAAAAAATTAGCACCCACCTGTAATCCCAGCTACTTGGGAGGCTGAGGCAGGAGAATTGCTTGAACCTGGGGGGCAGAGGTTGCAGTGAACCCTGATCGTGCCGCGGCACTCCAGCCTGAACGACAGAGTGAGACTCTGCCTCCCCCGCCAAAAAAAAAAAAAAAAAGCAATTCAATTTTCTACAGATGTATATTGAAATATTTACAGATCAAAATGAACGCCTATGATGTGCTTTAAAATAATTGTGAGTGGGGATAGGAATGGATAGGGATAAACATGAAACTAAATTGGCATGAGTTAATTGGTGAAGCTGGGTAATGGCTAAATGGGAGTACACTGTATTATTTCACTGTGTGAACTTTTCTATGGTTAAAAGGTGCAAAAACAAAAACTCCTTGACCTATATGTCGTAACAACACAGACTTCTTAATAGTTGAATCTCCTTCCTATTAACATTGCTCCAACTCAATTCTCTGCCATTTAATCCATTTGCGACTGATAGTTTCATCAATTATTCCAACTCATTTTGCCTTATGTAGTCACTTTATGAGCTTAAGCCAGACACCTAACCTCTAAAAGCCGAGTTCTTCATTTACAGAATGGGAATATTCATACTCATCCGGTCTACCTCTGAGTAGCTGAGAGGATTATCTAAAATAAAACTTCAAAGCAGGATAATCACTCAAGAAATCCATATATTCATAAATTTCATCCTCTGCAATAACCATTCACTCAGCCCTATAGATTCTCTTCCCTTCCACCTCGTTCTTCCCTTGACCCCTCAACACATCAGCCTAAGCACCTGAGTTCGAAGCTACATTCCTCTCTACCGCCTCCAACCTCCAGGTTTTCATCTTTCAACACATCACCCTCGCTCTACACACCCCTCTATCCAACTTCCCCTCTACTCTTTCAAAGGATCTCACTCCATCTGTGCCCCCTCATCAGTCTATCCCGGGTATCCCCTTTGCTGGCCTGATTACAATTATCCCATCACTTCTCTACCCCTGTTCAGTAGAGAACAGCTTTATCCAATCAGCGCTATCACCCAATACCCTCAAACCCCACTACTGCCCCTCAGTTCACAAACACCCACCCGTTCACTTTTCAGTCAAAACACAATTGCTCAGGCAAATCCACGGAGACTGAAAGTAGATCGATAGTAGCAGTGTCGGGGAGAGAGGAAGGAGGAGTGGCTGATAATCTCTTTGGGGGGGCTATAAAAATGCTCTGGAATTAACGGTGGTGATGGCTGCTCAACCCCGTGAATATACTAAAAACCACTGAGTTGTACTTTTAAAGGGTTAGTTTCCTGATATGTGAATTATCTCTCAATAAAATATGAATGTAAAAAAAAGAAAGAAAAAGCCAACAACTATTGCTCACCCTGCCCATCACACGCCCATTTGTCAGACCAACACCGCCCCATCTCCGGAAGCACTGACATGGCCTTCGGTATCCCCACAACTCCCAAAGCGGACTGGGACAGAGGTCCCTCCGCTCTCAGCACAGCCCCTACGGGGTGGCCCAGGCGCCCACGGGCAGGAAAGGGAAGGTCCTTTCGCCGCCGCCCCGCGGCGCTGCCCCTCGCCTTCGGGCGCTGGCCGGGGAGCGGAGGGTGGCCCCGGACCCGCTTTGACTGGAGGCCGGGGGCGGCCGGGCTTTTGGGCCGGGCCGCGCTGCGGGGGGCGGCGCCACAGCCCACCTGTCTCAGCCGGCTGGGGCGATCTGCTCCAGATCCACGGACCCGCGGACAGGCGGGTGGCAGAGGGGTCAGGAGAAGTCGCGGTCGCCGCCGCAGCCCCGGGTGGCGCACGCCGGCTCGGGCCTCCTTGTTTCCACGTCTCTGCGGGTACGGTTCCGGCCCCGACTCGGCCTGCAGCTTGGCTCTGGTTCGGCTCCAGCCGGGGCCGCGTAGTTGCGGAGGCCGGGAGACTGCCAGTCCAGAGGGAAGCGACCGAGAACGCTGCTAGGGACCGAACCGCCGGGCGCGCGCGCGCGCCAGCCAGGCAGTCACGTGGCATGCGGCGCGCGGGGACCTCTGGGAAATGCAGTCCCTGTGGGTGTTACTCCTGCCTCCGCCCTCCTAGCGCCTTCTGGGCCTCCGCAAAGCCACGTGGCGAAATTGAGAAGCGCAAAAACCGCCCGGCGCGGTGGCTCATTTCCTGGAATCCCAGGACTTCGGGATGCCGAGATGGGCGGATCACGAGGTCAGTAGATCCAGACCATCCTGGCCAACAGGGTGAAACCCCGCCTCTACTAAAAATTCAAACCGGGCGCGGTGGCTCACGCCTCTAATCCCGGCCGAGGCGGGTAGCTCACCTGAGGTCAGGAGCTCGAGACCAGCCTGACCAACATGGCGAAACCGGGTCTCTACTAAAAATACAAAATTAGCCAGGCATGCTGGAGAGCGCCTGTAGTCCCAGCTATTCGGGAGCCTGAAACAGGAGAATAACTTGAACCCGGGAGGAAGTGGCAGTTGCAGTGAGCCAAGATCACGCCACTGCACTCCAGCCTGACTCCGTCTCAAGGAAGGGGGTGGGGGGAGGAGGGAATTGGCTGGGCGTAGCGGCGCGTGCCTGTAATCCCAGCTACTCAGGAGGCTCAGGCAGGAGAATCACTTGAACGTGGGAGGCGGAGGTTGCAGTGAGCCGAGATCGCGCACTGCACTCCAACCTGGCGACTGAGCTAGATTCCCTCTCAAAAAAATAAAAAAAAGAGAGAAGCGTAAAAACCTTGCCTTCCAGGCGCTAGAGGCCTCGCTCACGCTGCACCCTTTGTTCTGGCGGCTAACTCTTATTAAGGCCCCTGTTAACTGCAGCTGTAACCATCCCAAAGTCAAGCAATTTCGCCTGGGATTCTGGAGAATTGAGAAACAGGAAAATAATTTTTGATGGAGGCGGCTGGCAGGCCTAGCCCTGCCTGCAATAATGTCGGAAAGGACAGGTCCCACAGGAAAGGGTATCAATATGAGATAGTGCCAAAAATATAGAATTTGAGGACAAATGAGCTGCATTGACGTCTTTGAGCAACTACTTCACCTCTCCCAGCCAGTTTTCTCATCTAAAAAACTGATGATGATTCTGCCCTTTCAGAAATATTGACATTACCATAGTAATAATTAACAATTCACATTATGGATTGTTTTCTTTTTGCTGTGCACTGTTATCTTATTTCTCAAAATGACCCTTCGGAACAGAAAGCACTGTTATTCCCACTCTATAGTCAATATGTGCCAGTGTATTCTATAAAGTACTATACAAATATTAGATATTCTTTTCCAGGATAGACTGCCAGTAAATTCACTGAGCTCGCAGAATTGTGACAGGAAAACATTAAAACCCAAAGTCGGCTGGGTGAGGTGGTTCATGCCCGTAATCCCATTACTTTGGGAGGTCGAGGTGGGAGGATCACTTGAGCCCAGGAGTTCGGACGGACCCACCTGAGCAACACAGCGATACACTGTTTCTACAAAAATTAGCTGGGAGTGGTGATGCGCACCCTCAGTCCCAGCTACTCAGGAGGCTGAGGTGGGAAAATCGCTTGAGCCGAGGAGGTTGAAGCTGTAGTGATCCATGGTTTCGCCAGGGCACTCCAGACTGGGAGACAGAGCGAGACACTGTTCAAAAAAAGAAAAAGAAAGAAAGAAAACTGGCCGGGCGAGCTGGCTCACACCTGTAATCCCAGGACTTTGGGAGGCTGAGGCGGGCGGATCACCTGAGGTCAGGCGTTCGAGACCAGCCTGACCAATATGAAGAAAGCCCATCTCTACTAAAAACACAAAATTAGCTGGGCATGGTGGTGCATGCCTGTAATCCCAGCTACGCAGGAAAATTACTTGAACCTGGAAGGCAGAGGTTGCGGTGAGCTGAGATCATGCCATTGCACTCCAGCCTCGGCAACAAGAGTGAAACTCCACCTCAAAAAATAAATAAATAAATAAAACTACCTAACCATGGGCACTATCATGCAACTATTGTAAAGAATGCTATGGATGCATATTTATTTGAAAACATTTCAATGATACATTGAGTGGAAACATACATAATATCAAATTTTTATAAGTAAATTATATTAGGTTGGTGCAAAAAATTGTGGGTTTTGCCACTTTAATATATTTATAATATATAATTATGTACTATAATTGTAATTATATTTGTGTATTTTTATGTAATATATTTGTAAAGCTATGTATATGTGCTGGGGGAAAAAAGACAAATAATGTTAACAATATTGCAACTTTGGGTAACAAGATCGTGTGTGATTAAAATTAGTTTTTCCCTATGTTTTTTAATTTTTCTGCAAGGAATATGAAGTGCATGTACAATTTTATTTTAAAATTATAGCAAAAAGAGAGACTCAGGGCTGGGCACGGTGGCTCATGTCTGTAATCCTAGCACTTTGGGGGGCCAAAGCAGCCAGATCACCTGAGAAGTTCAAGACCAGCCTGGCCAACATGATGAAACCCTGTCTCTACTAAAAATACAAAAAAATAAAAATTAGCTAGTTGTGGTGGTGCACACCTGCAGTCCCAGCTACTCAGGAGGCTGAGGCAGGAGAACCTGGAAGGCGAAGGTTCCAGTAAGCCATGATCACACCACTGCCCTCCAGCCCAGGCAACAGAGCAAGACTCTGTCTCAAAAAAAAAAAAAAAAAGGTATCATGATAACTGTGACTGACTTGACAACTTCAGTGTCTAGTGGTTCAGGAACAGCAACAGGAAAGCTATGAAATCCTCCCACTAAATGCAATAGGCTACCCTGAATTGCATCCTGGAATTGAAAAAGGCAATAATAGGGACTAATTAAAGCTAAATAAAGTTTAGAGTTTAGTTAACAGCATTGTAGCAATGTTTATTACCTAGTTTCGACAAATGTGCTATGGTTATACAAAATGTTAACATTAAAGAAAGCTGGGTAACGGATATATAGTAACTAACTCCCTACTCCTTGCAACTGTTCTTATTATTAAATATTACATTATTTCACATGGTTGACAGAATAAGTTTCACTTTCATTGCCCAGGCTGGACTGCAATGGCACAATCTCAGCTCACTGCAACCTCCACCTCCCGCATTCAAGTGATTCTCCTGCCTCAGTCTCCTGAGTAGCTGGGATTACAGGCACAGGCCACCATGCCTGCCTAATTTTTGTATTTTTAGTAGAGATGCGGTTTCACCATGTTGGCCAGGATGGTCTTGAACTCCTGACTTCACGTGATTGGCCCACCTCAGCTTCCCAAAGTGCTGGGATTACAGGTGTGAGCCACTGCGCCTGGCCTGGACAGAATAATTTCATCTCCCCCAAAAGATGTCCACATCCTAATCCCCAGAACCTGTGAATGTGTTAGGTTATTTGGCAAATGGAAATTAAGGCTACAGATGGCAATTGAGATTGCCAATCAGCTGACCTTAAAATAGGGAGAGTATCCAGGATTATCAGAGTGCACCCAATATATTCACAAAAATGAAAAGTAGAAGAGGGAGGCAGAAGAGTCAGAGGGAGAGGTGGCTATGGAAGAAAACCAGAGTGAGCAATGTGAGAACCAGGCATTACTGGCTTTGAAGACAGCAAGAGCCTAGGAGTGCGGGCAATGGCCTCTACCACTTGGGAAAGGTAGGGAAACAGGTTGTCCTCCCGAATCTCCAAGAGGGAACGAAGCCTTGCCTATGCCATGATTTTAGCCCAATTAGACTGTATCTGACTTGGGACCTACAGAACAGATAATAAATGTATGTTATTTTAAGCCACTAAGTTTCTGGTAATGTGTTATAGCAAAAGAAAATAAATACACTCAAAAAATTTTTTAAAAAGCATAATTAGACTGGGTGTAGTGGCTCATGTCTGAAATCCCAGCACTTTGGGAGGCTGAGGCAGGAGGATCTCTTGAGACTGTGAGTTTGATATCAGCCTGGGCAACATAGTAAGACTCCATCTCTATAAATAAATATTTTTAAAGTGTAATTAAAAAGAAAACTTCCAAATGGCTGCCTGTGTTTCCAACACATGTTCAATCTGGGACTGTACAATTATTTATGCTCTTTAGAAGGTAACTGCAAAACAGAAAATGCACCCAAAAAAATTTTTTTTGAGACAGGTTCTTGCTCTGTCATTCAGGCTGGAGTGCAGTGTGTTGCTCACAACTCACAGCAGCCTCAACCACCCGGGCTCAAGCGATCTTCCCACCTCAACCTCCTGAGTAGCTGAGACCACAGGCATGCACCACCATGCCCAGTAATTTCCTTATAATTTGTAGAGAGTAGGTCTCGCTATATTGCAAAGGCTGGTCTCAAACTCCTGAGCCCAAGCAATTCGCCCATCTCAGCCTCCCAAAGTGCTGGGATTACAAGTGTGAGCCACCATGCCTGGCCCACAAGAAAATTATACTTCATTATACTTCACTTTGAAAGGCATGAAATTCTTTGGGAAGCCAGGGTGAGAGGGTCTTCAGCCCAGGAGTTCGAGATCAGCCTGGGCAACATAGCAAGATCCCATTTCTACCAAAGGGAAAAAAACAAGACTTATGACCTACTCTGCACTATTCATCGTTTTGCAGAGGTTGAGGGTCAGGACGTCAAGAGGAAAGAGTACTGAACAGCAGTGACTCAAACTTTCAAGCCCTCTACTAGGCCATCAGGTGACTTAGCTGTTTGACAAGACCACTGAAGTTGCCCTTTCAAGAGCTATTAAAGTGGCAGGGGAAGAGATTTGAGTAATTTGTTGATTAGCATTTGGTAATTTCTTTTTTTTTTTTTTTT